GGGCTTGCCCAAGGTCCCCTGATGCAATATTCATCTACACCACACCAGGCACATGGCCTGACCTCAGGCAAGTGGTTCTCAACTGAGGACTGAGGTCAGAGGTCACACCCGAGAAAAGAATCCCTGCACTGACGGGTAAACGCCCGGGGTGTCCACGCTGCCTGAAAGGCAGGCTCACGCCCATCTGAGACTCAGTGTTCCCCTCATTCAGCTGTGCCACCAGACATGACATAGAGCCACGGGTTCAAAAGGACTGGCATCAAACAGTTTGGTGGGTCCACAAAAGCCAAACATAGCTCCCAGAGTTTTCACAGCATGAGGCAATTCCACTCCTAGGCATCTACCCAAGAGAACAGCAGCCACACAGCCACACAAAAACTGTAAGCAAATGTTTATACCAGGGTTATCCGCAACGGCCACAAAGTGGAAACCAGCCAGGATGTCCATCAACAAATGAAAGGATAAACAAAATATTGTCCATTCGCACAGTGGCATACTAGCCACAAAGAGGAGTGACCCCCAGTGCTGCTACACCGTGCATGAACCTCAGAGACGTGATGCTGAGTGAAACAGGCCAGACAGACACACAAGATTCCACTTGATAGAAACGTTAAACCCCCAGAACGGGCAGATCCAGAGACAGGAAACAGATGAGGGGTTGCTAAGGGCTGGGGAAGGGGAAATCGGGAGCAACCACTAACAGGTACAGGGTTTCTCTGTGGAGTACGGAGAATGTTCTGGAACTCCATAAAGACAGCTGCACATTTGAATAGTGCACTTTCAAATGGTTCATTTCATTTCAATTAAGAAACAAAAACTCATCCTTCTCTGGGACAGAATATGATTCCTTGGTTCATGGGTTTAACAAATTCTTCTTGACAAATGTTACAAGTGCTGGAATCCAGTAAGCCCATCCCGGCCGCAGCGGTGACAGCTCCCTGCTGCCCAAGAAGGGCTCTTTGCTGAGGCCAGGAAGACAGTGAGTGCTCAGTAAAGCTTTAGGAACAAATAAGGACACTCAAGGGATCTCCTGGCACTGCGTGGGGGAGCAGGGGAGGAGCATCTGCCAGGAGCAGCAAGCCAGCACCCCCTGGAGGACCTGGCCTGGGTCTGAGAAGTGTCACTGGGCAGCTGCAGAACAGTCCTTCAGGAAATTTACTGAGCACATTCTAAGGCACTGTGGAAGGGACAATGATATGGGCAGACAGGGACCCTGCTCTCGGGAAGCCGGGGAAGTCACTGGGACAGGAACTCCCAAAAGTAACCACAGCATCTCAGCCCTGAGAACGGATCGAGCGACAAAGAAAGAGTCCACGGGAAAGGCCTGCCAAGAACACCTGACCGCAGGACAAGACAGACGCTCACCCTCACTGCTCGGAAGGGAGCGGAGGTAAAACCACGTGAATCGCTGCTTGTTGTCACCTGTCAGAACGCTGCCGCTGGGTGATGTGGAG